CCCCCCCCCCCAATCACCTCGGGGTCAGTATAGCCCGGGTGACTGGTTTTTAATTTTAAAAAAACACCTATTTTTTATCTGATAATTAGATGGAACAATGGCCAATGCTCCTTTACTTATCTCTGAGCACAAATGGCAAATGCTCCTTTACTTATCTCTGAGCACAAGACATAGATGCACGGTGCAGCACTATGGATGCGGCAGCTTGGGCAGTGGCAATGCTCTATTAATGATTCTTTTATTTTTTTTTCTTTGATAAACTCCTTCTCTGTATCTAGCTTGTCAATATGTCAAAATGCACATCAATAAATACACCACAGATGCAAAAATGCATACTTGGCAACCATACAACAAATATGTCAAAAATCACATCGTCACACTGTCTGACAACCACAGCAGCAGAAACTTGTCAAAAGGTACATACACCAGAAGCTAGGAAGACAAAGGGGTTAAAGTGAGAAAGAAAGCAGGTTTTTCTTTTGCTTTTCTTCTTTTTGTCTCTCTATTTTGTTTGCGGGGAGCTGGATATAGAGGATGTTCTCCAACTCACTTTCAGCCATTGGTCAAAGGAATTCATTGATCCAGTGATAGGGGTCTAGCTGTGTACAAGGAAGGAGGAACCAGATCTGGTGGACTGTCTCATACTCCTTATTGTCGACCCCAAAAATGCTGAGGTATTTCATTGAGGTTTTAGGCTCAATTTTAGTTGCTCTAAAGGATAGATTGCGAGCACCTATGAAGTTGACGTATCTTCAGCTTTCCGGAAGTCCAAAATTTTGTCTAGGCAGGTGAAGCAAGCTAAGCACAGACTTAGATTGCTGGAGGGACAAGAGGAATTGCAAATATCAAGGGAAAGCGAACAGCACATTAGATTTAGTACAGGTCAAAAATGGCCTCTATAAGACACTACTTTGAGACTTGAACCTATACAACACCTGAAGCTATCAGTAAATAAGAGAACATTAACAATTGAACAACTAAGAATAGAAATTCTTTATAATGTAATCATAAGATGAAGGGAGACCTCTATATATCTTGCGCATTAATGAAAAATTAGTATGACATTTCTTCGAGCACGTTATCTTCAATAGATGATCATGAGAAACTGGAACTTCCAGTTTATGGGCTTCTTTTGGGTTTGCCTCTTTGATGTTCTTGGTAGGGTAAGAGGGCAGTTTCATTTAGACATTTCTTCAAACAACTTTCACGATTTAAGAAAACCTAGAAGACGAAGTATAATTGGGATCTTTTGTTCTGGTTTTCCTGTTTGTTGTTTGAAGAGGGGTACAGGGCAATATCCTTGAGAGAATATAAATCCATACTGATGCATATCAGCTGTTAATATTAAGCAAAACTAGTATGGAGGAAGGGTAATAAAAAACTTACATAACAGCGCCAATTACCATCGGAAACGACAAAAATCTTCTCCTTCCGAACATGTTCGCTGCACTTTCTCAGTTTAGTAATTATCGGAGCTATCAGCTATCGGCTGCGAGCTAATGTTTTGGTCAATTACATTCACGTCTGAATTCCTTCAGAAATTCTAGAAATTCCCTCCTACTTTTGGAAATGACCTTCAACTACTATTTGATTTAGAGATTGTTTGGATAGTTTGGGTAAAAATGGCGTGTGGTAGCCACTAAATAAGGTGGTGTTTATTTTTTATCCACCAATTCAAATGTTGAGTAAAAATAGTCACTATTCTATTAAAATAAATATGAAAAGACATTTTACCATTTATTCTATTTCTTTTATTCCCAAATCCTTCCTTTATACACTTTAGAGGCAAAATTTCAGAGGCAAAATTTCGCTCTCTCAATATTGTTCCTGCATGCAACTCTTTGTGAGATTTTGTTCCTGCCCAGCCCACGACAATTCTTTGTGTATACTTTGTTCAACTTAATCTCTTCTCCTTTATCTATCGTCTCTGTAGTGAACCAGCGAACTGGTATGTTTTCAATTTTACTTTTATGCAATTAGGTCCTGAATTTTAGTTTTTTAGTTTAAATATTAAGAACATTTCAGAAAAATAATCCTAGGAATCTGTAAGCTAACTGTGCTTAGGAATTTTAGTTAACTGTTCTTCTATTAAAGATGCATCTACTTAGGTCCTTGATTTTAGTTTTTTAGTGTAAATATTAAGGACATTTCAGAAAAATAGTCCTAGGAATCTGTAAGCTAACTGTGCTTAGGAATTTTAGTTAATTGTGCTTCTATTAAAGATGAATCTAATTAGGTCCTGGATTTTAGTTTTTTAGTTTAAATATTAAGGACGTTTCAGAAAAATAGTCCTAGAATTTGTAAGCTAATTTTAATTAACTGTGCTTCTATCAAAGATGAGTTTAATTAGGTCCTGGATTTTAGTTTTTTAGTTTAAATATTAAGGATATTTCAGAAAAATAGTCCTAGAATTTGTAAGCTAATTTTAATTAACTGTGCTTCTATCAAAGATGAGTTTAATTAGGTCCTGGATTTTAGTTTTTTAGTTTAAATATTAAGGATATTTCAGAAAAATAGTCCTAGGAATCTGTAAGCTAACTGTGCTTAGGAATTTTAGTTAACTATTCTTCTATTAAAGATGCATCTACTTAGGTCCTTGATTTTAGTCTTTAGTTTAAATATTAAGGACATTTCCGAAAAATAGTCCTAGAAATCTGTAAGCTAACTGTGCTTAGGAATTTTAGTTAAATGCGCTTCTATTAAAGATGAATCTAATTAGGTCCTGAATTTTAGTTTTTTAGTTTAAATATTAAGGACATTTCAGAAAAATAGTCCTAAGAATTTGTAAGCTAATTTTAGTTAATTGTGCTTCTATTAAAGATGAATCTACTTAGGTTCTGGATTTTAGTTTTTTAGTTTAAATATTAAGGACATTTCAGAAAAATAGTCCTAATTTTTACGTTCTATTTCCTTCTTTGTAGTGTGCTAATGGAAGGAGGTCGTGTTTTCGAGTTTAATGATTGATGTAATTCGATGAGCTATTGGAAAGGAGATTTTCAGTATAAGGAAACAATAAAAAGTTTCTTGTCGAACACACAATGGAAGAAGTTGAGGGATGGTGTTTTCGGAAACTTTTTCCGTGTGAAGTTCTGTGGTAAACTTATTCATTGTGTGTGTTGTCTCAAAAATTGTAGTCAATGAATCGAATTCAATGACATTCAAGGTTTTTGATCATGAAGTGAAGTTTACACGTGAAGCGTTCCAGATAATTATCGGGTTGAAATATTCTTCTTCAGTGGACTTCAAAGTTTTGGGTGAAAGAGAGAATAGGCTTTCGAAAGTCTACTTCCCTGGAAAGGATAGAATCGAGTTAGGCGATTTGTGGCATTTTATTACTAGTCACCCATATGGTACAGCTGCCTCATTTGTAGGCAGCCATGGCGATGCGGTGAAGTTGGCAACAATTTATTTTGTTGAATCTATGTTGATGGGAAGAGAAAGAGAAAGAGAAAGATAAAGACAAAGACAGTGATGGAAGTATTCCCAATTTTTCAGGAAAAACAATTTGTGAACTTCAGAGAAGGTGGGTTCCCTCGAATGTTATGTTATTCAGATATGAAATCTTCACATTATGACACCTTATGTAAAAAGTACTTCCATAATGAAAAAGTAAGTTAATTGGATTACTAGCTATTTTTTTTGTTTATGTGTTTTAGTTCTGAATACTTACGTTTTTTTTTCTTATATAATAGTTGTATCAGTTGCTCGAGATGGTACCATTTCTTTCTTGGGAAGAAGATACGGAGCCCGCTAGTGTGCATGTGCCATTGTCTCAAACTTAAAGTTCAATGCCTTCAACACAAATTGATAAAGACTTGCTTAAGGAAATTGTTAACGTAGGTTTTCTGTCTTTGAATACCATTAGTTTTTTATTTGCTTATTTTTGCTTAAGAGACTTTTTTATTTTTACGGTTTTTGATTCAGAGATTATCGGAGAAGTTCAAAAAGGATATGCAAGTAGAGAGTACTAGAATACATCAAAGAATAGATTTATCAAAAAAAAGGATTCGAAATGACATCAAGGTAATATCCATAATTTCTGTGCTTGTAACTCTAAGTCTAGGATTTCCTATCCTTAACTTTTGAACTTGTAACTGTAAGTTCAGGACTACATGTCCTTAACTTTTGAACTTGGAACTCGAAGTTCAGGACTACCTGTCCTTAATTTCTGTTCTTGTAACTGTAAGTTAAGGGCTACTTGTCCTTAATTTCTGTGCTTGTCTAAGTTAAGGACCAAGTGTCCTTAATTTGTGAGCTTGTAACTTGAAGTTCAGGACTACATATCCTTAACTTTTGAACTTGGAACTCGAAGTTCAGGACTACCTGTCCTTAATTTCAGTTCTTGTAACTCTAAGTTAAGGACGACCTTTCCTTAATTTCTGTGCTTGTAACTTGAAGTATAGGACTACTTGTCCTTAAATTTTTAACTTGTAACTCTAAGTTCAGGGCTACATGTCCTTAACTTTTTAACTTGTAACTCTAAGTTCAGGACTACATGTCCTTATTTTTTGAACTTGGAACTCTAAGTTCAGGACTATCTGTCCTTAATTTCTGTACATGTAGCTCTAAGTTAAGGAACTGTCTGTCCTTACTTTCTTTGCTTGTACCTCTATGCTAACATTCTGATTCTTATTTTAAATACTATGTCACAAGATTTAAAGAAAAACCTAGGATCAAAGATTGATACCTTATTGAAGCTTCTTGACAAACCTCATGAAAGGACCATAGAGAGAGAACCTAGTGTTCCATTTAGCAAAGATGCAGTTGATGATCAATGTAGTGATATAGATGTGCATGTAGAAGATCGTTATAAAAGCGATTAAGATATGCACATCTAGAAGATGAAATTGATATTGGCATCAAAATTGGAAAAGGTTAGATACAGTTTTTGAATTTGTTATTGAAATTTATATTCAATAGCGTAATACATATAAACTTTTTGTGATTACAAATGTGTGTAGAATCTTTTGATGGAGTGAAAGTTCAAGACGGAGTGGAATGTCAAGACCAGGAAAATCCAAAAGAGACAAGTGTACTAGAAATAATTTGTAAATATGGAGTGCAATCTCAGGATTTAGAAAATTCATTGGGAACAAGTATAAGTGAGATTGTATGAAAATGTGTTTAAGGAATATATGATCTATCTACACTTCTCTCACTTAAAGAGAAGATTGGAATTCAAAATGATGTCAATCAAGGTTAGATGGAATTTTCATGATATGTTGAATGTTAGTTTTAGTAAACTATTAGTAACAAGTATTATTTGTAAATGTTATAGAATCTTTTAAAGCTGCAAGGAAAGAAGATGGAGTGGACTATCAAGATGATGAAATTTCAAAAGAGAGAAGTGGAGGACACTCTCAAGACATAGAAAATACCCAAGGAACAAGCATAAGTGAGATTGTTTGCAAATTTATAGAAGGAACATATGATATCTTTACACCTCTCTCTCTTACAGACAATATTGGAAGCCAAAAAAATACTAGTCAAGATAATGATTTAACTGGCATGATCTTGACAGTTGCAAAAGATTAGACGGAGTTTTAATCAAAGATTAGTAACAAGTACTAATTGTGTTAGCTCTTGTAAATATTTTATAGAATTTTGTGAACTTGCAATCGAAGAACATGGAGAACAATTGCAAGATAAAGAAAATGCAACCAATATGTCAGCTCCATTGTCTGTTAAAGAAATACAAGAAGGCAGCGTGACCAACACAGGTATTGATTGTGTCCTTAATATTGTATTCATAATTCAAATTGTCAGGACATTTAAAAAATTAGGTCCTTAGTTTTTGTCTCTTCTTTTGACAATTTGTCCTAGAATTGACAATTTGTAGCAAACTAATGTATATGTAGTGTTGCTTGTAGAGCAAAACAAAGACGAAGCCGTTAACCAATATACTAGGAAAAGGAAGAGAGATAGTATTGGTTTTGATGGGTTCATCAGTTGCTATTCTTACTCCTACTCCTCCGACTACACAAATGAGCATTGATGAGGGTTTGTCTATGGAGGTTGAAGGAAATGTTGGAGAAGAGCTTGGTTGAGGGAAAAGGAATAAGAAGCTTAATTGGCAATTGAAATCTCCTTTTGAACAGAAAAGAAAAACAGGAACATCGATGGCGCACAATGAAAATACTCACGAGTATACAGGCTGGATAAAATCAAAATATACTCGTACATGTATTTTTCATTATGTCAAAGATGATGAAAACTTATTGAAGAAATTCATTGGGTGGTTGGGCAAGGAGAAAAGGAAAGGTCACAAAAAAGTGTAAGTCCCTAAATGTATTCATTATTTCTTAATTGCTTACATTTTGTGTCTTGAACTTGAATTTTAAATTCAGGACTAAGTGTATTGAGCTTCCAAGTCTAACTTCATGACTAAATGTCCTAAAATTTTGAGCTTGTAACTCTAAGTTAAGGATTAAGTGTCCTTAACTTTTGAGATTGTAAGTCTAAGTTCAGGACTAAGTGTCCTTAGCTTTTAAACTTGTAATTGTAAGTTAATGACTACTGTCACGACCCCAAAACCAACCCGGTCATGATGGCGCCTATCATGGAATTAGGCCAACTGACACATTCCCAAAATAG